ACGCCTTAGAAGATCTCCTTTTGAAGATGGTAAGTCTGCTAGCCGAGTGTATTGCTACGACCAATGCTAGTAGCTGCTAGCTTGATCCGACGTTTAGCCGTCACCAGCCGTCGAGCTTTTCATTTTGGTTGTGTCTACTTGCTGGAGTCTATGACCTTAATTAGAAATCGTCATCTACATTTGCATAATGTAATAGATTAACTGATTAAAGTAAATACTGTATCATGCATTTCAAATAAACCGAGTGGCGTGTATATTAACGTTGTCAGATACATGCTAGGCTAGTATCGCTAGCGGTACTGAAACACTAACGTAAAAGTTACCCTACGAGAGGAGTCTTTAACAGATGTACAATAACCCTACGATTATAAAAATGTTCCGTGGCTCTACTGATTGTATAATTGCCAGATTGTCTTATGTCAAACAAATTAAGTTATTTATAAACTTTGTTTTTAGAGTTATGGGATGCTTTAGTGGTGTAAGAGCTGTGTAGCTCAACCTTAACGTCTCAATTTCTTTATTGTTAGGAGTTGAAATAATTATTAATACATAATGAAAAGCAAACGCATATAGATAACCCATTAACTCACCTTAAAGCCCATCAATTTGTATGTTAACAGCTTAAAAGGGAAAAGATTCTCAATAGATTGTCAATGTGACTAAGGCCAGTCGCATTTTATTAATCTTTGTCTAGGTTTTATTGATAACAACACTGATATTAAACAATGTTTGTTGACGTTATTAAAAAGCGGCAGTTGCGTCGTTTTTGTCGATGTGCTAAGCTTAACAGATTGATCGTCAAATTAATTTACCAGTTTTCGTTTTTGAATTTTTTTTTTTTGTATGTCAAATAGAAATGCAGGTGCAAAACAGTTGTCCTGTAATGGAAATAAGAGAACGATGAACTACTTTGTATAGTCTTGGTGATACGATGTAGGATACAAAATGCAACTCATAAGCAGTTCTAAATAACATTGACCGCCATTTAGTAGTAAAATAAAAACTAAAACTCTTGGAAATCAATGTTCTCAACTCTTGAGAGTCTTGAGTTTACATAATGCACACTGGAGGTAACATAACCATCTTTCTGTCTCTGTCCAGAACTCCAATGTGGAGAATTTGCCTCCTCATATTCTTCGCTTGGTCTACAAAGAGGTTGCAGCGTTAGCAGCAGACCCCCCCGAGGGTATCAAGGTTTATCCCAGTGAGGAAGACATCACTGAGCTCCATACAGCCATCGAAGGACCAGGTAAGGATTGCAAAACTGTCGTACCAAACTGGCATCAGCCATTATAAGACAATAAATAAAATAAAAACAACTTTGTATATGTGTTCACAAGGTAAGAAATGTTGCATTGTTAGACATTAAACCGTCTTCAGCAGAGAGATACGTCCTGTGTATTGTCTTTTATTCATTTCAAGCTCTCACAGCTGTGCTTTTCACATCTTAGTTTTTGGTTTGGATTTATTTCTGTTGTTTCTGTCTGTTTCAGATATTTTCTTATGATATTATATGTCTGAAACCCTGGTCAAATTGAATTATTGAAAAGTCAATACAGAACATGTATTTTTACATTTTTATCAATTGCACCTGCTTACTATCTGGTTACAAACACATAATTCTCGATGAAGATACTTCAAAGGTCCACTTAAACAAGAGCTATGCCTCGTTCAGACAGACCATGAAAGATTTTCTGTTTTACGTAAATTGACTCAGTTGCCGCTCCATGACCCTGTTTGTTGTTATGTAGCAAGTATCGCAGTCAAGACATACTGTTCATGAGATGAATTCTTTATGCTTTGACAGAGGGAACTCCGTTTGCTGGCGGCGTTTTCCGAATGCGTCTGGTCCTCGGGAAGGACTTCCCTGCGGTTCCACCCAAGGGGTATTTCCTGACCAAGATTTTTCACCCTAATGTGGGTCACAAGGGAGAGATCTGTGTCAACGTGTTGAAGAGGGACTGGAAGGCAGAGCTCGGCATCAGACACGTCTTGCTTGTAAGAGGAACTATCAGTCTTTGCAGTTCTGAGTGTTAGCTGCGCTGCTGTCACTATTTTTACATTTCCATCTCCTTTATTTCCCCACAGACAATCAAGTGTCTTCTTATCCATCCGAATCCTGAGTCCGCTCTGAACGAAGAAGCCGGGCGTTTGCTGTTCGAGGACTATGCAGAATACGAGTCCCGCGCTCGTCTCCTCACAGAGATCCACGCCATGGGCCCTTCTGGGGCCCTTCAGGACCCTAACGACGGCCCCCAGCCAAAGAAGCACGCAGGTGACCCCATGAAGAGAGCTGGACCCAGCGCAGCACCGGTGCCAGCAACTCTGGGCAACGGAGCGAACGCAGCCAGTACCACCAGCAATAGCAACAGTAGCACTAATAACGTAGCAGGGAAAAAGAAAGCAGATAAAAAGAGGGCATTGAGGCGACTTTAATACCTCTGCAAAATGCTCAGTGTGTGTCTGTGTGTGTGTACGTGTGAGAGCGAGTGTGTGTAAATATAATTATTGAAGTTTGCTTACAAGGTTTTTGTTCCCTCTTTTTACCACCTATTAAGACTTTCCACTTTTTACTCATACCTTAGCTTCTGTGTTGCCTCCAGTTTGTCCTGTTGGCATAACAGCTTAGTTAATTATTTCCATACCGAATGATAAAATATTTGTTACTCTTTTTAAAGGAAAGACAACTCCTTAACTGCGGAAATCATGCCATCCGTTGTATTTTGCCCTCTGCCTTTTGTGAATGAATGAGACAGGGAAAATGTTTCACTGTGCAAATCATGGCCTCTAAAGTCTGTCCAATGAGATCCACCTACTATTGTCTCTTTTTAAAGTGTTTCCTGGTAAATGCTGCTGTGATGGTACTGTGTACTGCACGGCCAGGCTTAACAAATATGTTGTTTTGAATAAAATGAACTTTTCAAATTGACATCAGTGGAAATAATGGTAGAAGTTGTTTGTTAACTCAAACATATTTTTAAATAGTATTTTTCATATTGCTATCTGGATGAAGTAAAGGTATATGGAAAGACTTGGCAGTGGAGTATAAGAAGTCTGTTATGTGGTTCATGGAATCTCAACCACTTTTTTATGTTAATTTTTCTAAAATGGTTTCACTGTTTAGTATTTTCAAAGGTTGTTTATAATCGACATGTTCATATTCAACGGTCTTGTGGTTGTGTGTGAAGACCTAGATCAGTGGCTGTAAGGGAACAGGGTAGTTTGCCAGACTACTTTAATAGAAAATTAAATATCTATTATTTGTATCATAAATACAGTGATGAGACTCACCACTGCTCCCATACAAAGCAGTGTGTGTCTCAGGTACCCAGCTCTCTGCCATGTGGATACCTGAGGAGACATCTGTACGACGAAGTCCACGTTTGATAGATCTTGTCTCCCCACTTGTAGCACTGTTCAGGTTTTCTGGGCAGGTTTTCTTTCCATACCAAATGCATGCAGGGCTTACATTTCCCAAGGAAACACTGAAGTGCACTGTCTTAATTTGGGTGGAAAATGTGCCTCTGAATCACCTGTCACTGCAGATTGTTGGCTGGATATTTTGTGTCCATTGTAAATTATTTAAATTAATAAAACATTGAAATACAAGAAGTTAAATGAACAAAAGGAGTCCTCTTATTTTGGGTTCTTTGCCTGCATAATAATGAATTATAATAGAACCTTATCTGTTCTGCAATAATAGGTAAATGGGTACGGCTCTTACTGCTCTGTGACGTACAAAAGCACTTTATTTACCATATAGAAGTCTCCTGTTATGCAGTGATGGAATGACCATTATGACAAATCTGTAATTGCATCCACCCCAGTAAAGCAGTGAGTGAAAGTGCACCCGGTAGCGCGTCATTGGCCCATAATGAAGGGCTCCACCGGCCTCTGCAGACGTGCAGCAGCCCATCCACCCACCTATGTAGAAATAGCAGCCTGCAGGTAATTATCAGACCCTTCATAGACACCTGGGGATCCACATAGCTCTTACCAAAGCCTCGTCTTAGAAGCGTTTACCTCCTTCCCTAATCTCTATGTTTACCAATCCATGCTTGTCATTTTCCTTGCTGTTATAAAAAACAACAACACATATGTTTTAAATGTTCAATTATATGAATCTTCGGTCGGTGTTGAATGCATGCTGGCTTTCCTGCTTCACTACATTGTAATGCTATTAATTATGATTCATCCTGTAGGCCCGCAATGTGTGATCACTAATTAAATTGATGTAACACACTCCTCAGTTTGAATCTGCAGAAAACCCAAAATCCGGTTTCATTCATGTGCTGAGGATGTGAGGATCGTGAGGAGGCAGTGACTGTGACGGTGGCATGAAGCCAAACAAATGCCAACTTCATCTCTGACACAGGACTGCATCACTGCGTGTCCTTCATTCCTACCTTCACATTACTACATCTCCATGCGTCCTGCTCGTCTTTAACTTGAAGACATCTCCATGCACGTCCGGGTCTAATTGACAGTTTCGTTCACGCTCCAGTGTTACAGCTTTTGCGCCAATCCTCTCCCCTTTCCCGTTTTTATCGCTTTCATAATTGCCACCAACATAATGACACAGTTGCTGTGGCAACCATGTCTCTCTTTTTCTCTTTCTCTATCTCTCACACACACATTACACACACACAAAGAAAACACACTTTGGATCTCGGATTTCTTCTGCTGAAATTACCGACTGCTTTAATTTAATTATGTTAAGTTTTCCTCCACATTTTTAAAGCGTGTTCCAACTCTGCGTTTTACTTTTATGATTAGCTAGGGAAGCTCATTTCCTGACATTATTTTTTTTCAGAGCATGTTTAAAGCAGATTTTCAGAGTCAGTCAATTAAAAACAGATTAAATGGAGGGGAATAAAGATGCACGCCACCAGTTGAATGGGCCTAATGACCATCCGCGCGGAGCCTGATCAGTAGTTGTCTGATCGACCAATCACAGACCCCCCCCCCCCNCCCCCCTCCAGGCAGACTAGTCGCAGTTAGGCGGTGTAACCTATCTCGCCTGGAAACTATGAAGGGAACCAGCTTCACTCGATCCTAGATGGAGAAAAGTTAAATTGGAGGATTTATTTTTTATTTGGTGACGCGTTTCGTTATTTTGACCACCTGCATTTCGGCGTGTTTTCGGGATAGTTGCACAATAACTTGTGCTGTAGGCTACAACAAACGGAATTTTCCAAGCCTGTAGTTTTATTGCCTTGCCACATGTCTCAGAACATCTCGTCGGGCTCTCACTCTCTCTCCTGCTCATGTTTTTCTCTCCTTTTGCCAAAATATTGGATTACCAATAGCCTGATGAAGACACATCATAGAGAGATGCAGCACTGTTAAAAAAAAACAACCTTTTAAACAGGTGGCAGATCCAGCAACAGTTCAAGCTGTCCTGATCATCCTGTGCCACAATAACAGGCTACCATCTGAGAGACGCTGAGATACAGTGCGCAGGCTCTCAGCGCTATTCTACACCATCAAACCCCAGAGCAACGCACAGGTAAGACACGACATTATGCACCTTCTATTCATGCAACGCCAATTTACCGAATTACACGTACCACTGTTTGATAGCTTCATTGTGTGTTTCTGTCTATGAAAAATTTAGTTTGGCTTCTGTTTAGACGCATCAGCTGGACACTGTCAAACAAAACATTTGGATGAAAGCTGCGCCACAGAAACATCTGTAGGCTTTGTGCTGGGCAGGCATCGTTTTCATCACTTAGACACTTTAATTGACTGCACATTGCGACATTATCATCATATTGTTATTTAGACCGACATATCCAACCTGACTACACACACACGCACAAACACACGCACCGGCACGGATACACCCACGCACTCTTAGCCTCCTAATACATGCAAGTAATTTCCATAAACCGCATGCTTGTCGTTTGCAAGTTGCAATTTATTAACCGTACGAAGTATATGGATTGTAATCTGAGTTGTTGTCCAAATGCAAAGTCACTGCGCAGCAGATATTTCACTGATAAGAAGGACTGAAGCTGCTCTCAGCTGTTTCCCCCGTAATTAATTGTCCATTTGCATCAGCATGACTGGCATTTAGGTGTTTTTCGCTATTGATTTACATCGTTTTTGCAACAGCGTGTCTTAAGAAAAAAAAAGGGGCCATTTTGTTTCATTTCCAACAAACACCTGTTGAAATTGTTGCCTGCCCAGCCGTCTGCACAGCCGGCTTCATGCAATGAAAGTAAAGGGAGCCGTTTGGGTCATTTGCGTGGATAGAATTGCTTGCAGTGAAAGGAAACAGTGGAAATGTGTTTTTCTCCCTCCAGTGGCCGTGCAACCCAGGGATGCATCTTCACAGTTCTGAATGTGTTGCCCTTCACCCTTTAGTTCCCATGCTCACTCTATCTCCCTCTCTACTGCATTGCTTCAACAGCACAGCATAGATAATGCCTACAGGAAAACATTTTATATTTTGTCTACGTTATGTCACTTTGCTGGACAGATGTTATATCAGACTTAACAGTTTTGGATGCATTTTTTTCAATTCTTGAATTTCCGTTTGTTGTATTTGCACATATTCATCGGAGAGTGGTTTGGACATATTGGCCAGAAAATCCTCATGTGAACGTAGAGCACAAAATATGGTAATGGCGAGGCATCAGAGTCATCTTGTTGAGCAAGAGACGGGCAGATGTGACTTTGAAATCTGGATTGTCTAATGGTGTAGATTGGATTCTGCCTCCCTTCTCTTTCACTGCCTCTTTCACTCACACACAGACAGAGCTGCAGTGCTATTCTGAGAGAGTTAGCTGCCTCAACCCACGCACAGAATCTGAGAAAGAGAGAAAAGGCAGAACGAAGGAGAAAAGAGGAGAAGGAGGGAGCAGGAGGAATAAAGGAGAGAGAAAGAGACTGCTACATTAGGTTTACAGAATGTACTACAGTCTCTCACATGCACACAAAGCCTTTTAACAGTTTCACATGATCCCTCTTTAAATGTTCCAACAGCAGCTGATTTACAGTCTTCATCTGCACTCTTCTTGTGTGTGGCATTGACTGTATTTGCAGATCTGCTTGGCTGTGCTGTTTGTGTGATGTTCTATGTTGTATTGGTAAGTGCTGGGAGAAATGTACTTGATTCTGTGCCACCCACACACCGCCCTCCCACTCATGGTCGTCTCTGCATCTATACCTCTGGCTCTTCCCGCTCGCCACAATCTCTATGCTCATTTAAATCCCTACCCTGCATTTATCCCTCTGCTCTCGTTCTCTCTTTCTCCATCACTGGCTTTTCAGGAGCTCCCGCAACCAAACAGGCACACAAACATACACTCGGTACCTCACAATGCAATTATTAAAAATGACTGTTTTGTGTCAATAAGTGAGGTCTCGGGGCTTCTTTCTAACCATGCCTCTCGTTTTGTGTTACAGCGGACACTCTGGCATTACAGGTTTATCGACGTGAAAACCTGAAGACAATTCTGGAAATCAAGCAGAACATTTAGAGAGGACGGAAAAACACTTTTGGAACATTAATCATTGGGGGGAAGTGAGTCTTTGTTACTCGTTCTTCCTTTGCCGAACTCTCCTCAGAAGGTCAGAGGAGCATGTAACCGAAACAAGTGGAGCCCTCTGTGATTTCAGCATTCTGTCTCCCCCATCTGTGCCTACATTCGCCGCTACAGATAGGGACGTTTTTGATAATTACATGTAATTATAATTTCTGTGGGAGACAGATCTGCCTCTGTCTATTATTGCCAACACCTCCAACACAATAACTTCACACATTTACATATTTCTCAACAAAAGTGATATTCTTTGAAGACAAATCAGGAATAATTTTACTTAGAGAGACATGTCACATGGAGACAAAATGTGCCATTCAGTTCATATCTAATTAGTAAAACGGTTGAATGACACGGGTAACTTTTTGTGCCTAAAAGCTGAATAGGGAGCATTTAAAATCTGTGACGTTTGCCTCACTTTGCAATGTTTTTCACAGGCTGGGAGTCATTTTCTTGTTTTATGCTTACTCCTAAATTTTAGCTGAAACCGTCTTCTAGCACCTAAACTGAGCCTTCCTCATTAATCATCGGCCAAATCACAGTAACAGTCTGTGTGGATGCTCAATAATCCAATCATAGAGAAGATTGAGATAAAGTACGCATTGTATCTACAGATGTGATGAGTGCCTAGAACAAGAGACCATGGAGAAAGGTCTGTGTCTCAGAAGAACTAAGCATCATTACTGGCTGTTTTCCGTCAGTGGTGCAGTCTGTTAATCTCATGTGATTGTTTACAAAATACATATTAAGAAATATAGATTTCATACATTTTTTATGAAGGGAATTGCTTACAGCTTAAATAAGTGCCAATTCTGAATGTGCCAGACTGAAACAGTCATCCAGGAATAAATAAAACAGATACAATTGTTTACATTTGATAAAACACTGGCCATAGACCATAGTTCAAGTGCCATGGTCAGTAAAAATGTATAGGACTGCCATATTTTATTGAAAATCCTTGCTACTCCTTTTAACTGGCCTTTTTGGTTACAAATGAATTCCATCCAGCAGTACGTCAGAGTCTTGTTCTTTTGTTCAGCGGGAAGTGTGGAACAAGGCATTAAGGACTAAAAGCATGAAGATTGTTGTTTTCAATCTGTCCTTTTTACAAAGCCGCATCCATTTTAGTCTTCTAGACTTGAAAGGACAAAAGATGAAGTCATTACGCATTCAGAGTTCCTTTCTAGCAGTAAATTAAAATCATTTTAATAGCATTATCGACCATTACTAAAACCTACCAACTGTTTTTATAGTGGTAGACCTTTTCATTTGTATTTTTCCTGACCTTTTCTAATATTACTCCATATAAATAATCAGTTTCTACATTTCAGTGTCTTTAAATTTCATCATCCAACATTACTGAATGAAACTACTGATACATCATAAATATTTAGTAGGTTGTACATGCTACTTGAATATTTCACATGCCATTTTAGTGGGTTAAACGGCAAAAGCGGATACTGCATTGACTCAACAACAGAAAATAGATCTCTTAGTCATGTAAAAATGACGCCCACCACCAATCTTCGAGTCCTCGCTGTCTCCCTGCTCTCCCTCCTCACCGCCCCTCTCACCACTGTTGTGGAGACCTCTCCGTCCCCCCTTCCTCAGCAAATAGACCCCCCAGGGAGGCCTTTCACCGAGCAGCCAAAGACTAGCCGTGGCCCCCCTCTCCTGCTCCTCGCCATGCAGGCCATCATCAGGCCAGCTGCTCTTCAAGGCAGGACCAAAGCACCCGAAAAACTTCCAGAAGCCTCATTTCTCGAGGAGCTTCCGAGGCCCCTTCCCCAGGTCATGTTCCCCAAAAATGTGACTTCATCAAAGGCCCTTGCACCTCCCTTAGGCGCTGCCCAGGTAGCGCCCATACCACCCCGTTTGGTGGAGGTATGGATTGATGTATGTCGGGGTTATTATGACGTAATGGGACAAATTGACACCTCTTTCAATTGCTCCAAGGACTCGTTCATCTTTTGCTGTGGAACCTGCCACTACCGCTTCTGCTGCCCAGACCGAACCCGGCAACTGGATCAGGAGAGTTGTACAAACTATGACTCTCCAGACTGGGCCAAGCCACAGACAGACCCCATGATGTTGCCAGATGAATTAGGTCCCGACCCAGACTTTGATCCACTGAAGCAACAGAGCCACAACACAGGCTTCGTCATTGGAGGCGTGATCGTGTTTATGGTGGCTGTCGCCGTGGGAATCAAGGTGGTCTTCAACAAGGTTCAACAGGAAGCTAACCAACGGGACCTCAACATGCCCAGGTGAGGCTTTAAAAAATGCTTTCCCATCAACTATCACTGCTGGATCTGTTACTTCATTCAACGTATGAATACTGTAATTAAGGTGTTCATGACTCCATAAATGGCCCAGATTCATCATTCTGGGCTCTGAATAATGTTGTTAGTCATCCGATGAAACATTTGATCTTCATCGAGTGGCTGCTGCAGAATTTATGGTTGTTTGGATCCCTCTGGGCTTTTTATCTCGTATAGGGCCTATGATCTTGGCAATAAAATAGGCATTTTGATTTATGTACAGGTTGCAATTTTCTGTCTTTGGCTTCAGTAGTGGAGGATGGTGGTTATAGACTCATATGGAGGATTCGGATTATTCCATAAAAAATGTAAACAATTAATACTGTTTTTTTTCCCTACTAATTCATTTACTGTTAGTGTTATCATTGTAAACAATTGTATAACAAACTAATTGGGGATTCTGAAAAAGATACAGTTAAAATACAGTATATACATATTTTTAAAAATCCTTATCAAGGTGTTTTCAAATAAAATTACCTACGTACACTTATCCTCACATAAATATGAGTAATCTGTTACCTACCAATATACTATCCAAATTAAAACCCTGTGAATAATATTGATAATGGCAAACATATACGAAAATACTAGTCACAAAAGATTACTAAGCAAGTTTTCATGAATGTTAAATTTTCGTCAGCAGCCATTCGTTTATTTTCAGTTTAATCTCGTTTTCACTTTCTGCATGTGTTTATTTCATCATTAGAGCCCTGGTTGACATGCTGCGGCACCAGTCAAGCCCTGTCCAGCAAGATGAGAGAAACAACAGCGTGGCTCTGGCTGTAGGTGACGGGACTGGGACACTGGGGAGACCTCCGAAAAATCTCTACGCCCCAGGACTGCCGAGCAAAGATAACAGATGTGAGTGTTTAGATTTTCTTTTTTTTACAGCGCTAGTGAATATCACAATCAGAGCTTTTGTAACTGCATCCTCTGAGTGCCGAGGCACAGCGTGTTTGTCACGTCTGCATGTGAACGCAGGTTGTTTTCTGTGTCCCATAATCAAGATATCTTTATATCCACTGGGCATTATATAAAAAAAGAAAAGGAATCTGAAAAGTAATGCTCTTAAAATACATATGCTTTACATGATGATGTGGGGACACATGTGCATGAGAGATGATGTGAAGGTGAATATATGCAGATACAAAATGTCTATAGTTGCCTTGATCCTTTTATGTTAAAGGACCATTGAACTGGAAACTGCCTGACATCCATTTTGAGATGATTATCTTATGTTCTTTTGATTTGCAGTGGGAAATATTCAGCACAATTTCATCCACCCTTCAGGCACCAGCCCCAAACACACTGCGACTATCGGTAAGCAGCTGGTGAAAGCTAGGCTCCCATGTAAATTACATGCAATCACCATAATGCTTAATTTACCTTGTTCTGTTTCATTTAAGCTCAAAAGAACTCTCATTCATCCCAACAATGATAATGATTGTCAGAGCTTTGGTTCCTTGTGTTGAGCTATGTTAAATTCTGACTGTCTGAATGTGCGCAGATTCACACACAGCTACGTGTGGCGCGCTATCTCCAGAGGAGCAAATCTCATTTAACACGCTGTCGTTTTCTCCCCCTGTGGTCTGTGTAGAACGCACCCCCCGGATGAACAATGCTCAGCTGGCAGCTGGAGGCACCCTGCTTTCCAGTAAACACAACAACACCAAATCCCAGCCGGCCTTCCACCACTCCCTGCACAACCTTGCTCAGCTGCCGCCCTCCTACGAGAGTGCCACCAAGCCTGAGCTCAACCGATACTCCTCACTCAAACGCCTCGGTAAGTACCTTAATTTTCAAGAAATTAGGACAAATGTACCTGCTGTCTGCCCCTGTCTCCCCGTGAGTACTGCAGCACGGTGACACTCTTGACACTTTGGCACAAAGGGCAAGACGCGTCATAATGTGCTGATGCTGTTGACTGTGTTGATAAACAACATTCAGAGACATTTTGTTTGGCTTGCAGAGAAAGGTCTTGATGAGTACTCGTCTGGTTACTGCACCACCAAGCGCCGGCCCCACACCGCCCAGCCGGCCCTCCAGTCCTCTCAGCACCACCTCCACTGGGGTGGAGACTACACCTTGAGTGGGAGAGGAACCCTTCCCCGGCACGCAGTCCGTCCCTGGATCCCGCCTCCGCCTTCTGGCATGCCTGCTTCACCCACACCCAATCCTTACCCTCTGGATCCCCCGGAGCCCCAGTACAACCCCAACTACGAAACTCTCTCCAAGCCCAGGAAAGTTAAACCCAATGACCAACTGCTCAACATGGGGGACGTCCCAGGTAACACGGGGACACTGTCCAGGATGTCCAAGAACCAGCAACACCAGTACTACAAAGCCATGGTTGCCTCCAACAAGAACACCAACACGCAGACGCTCACCAGGCAGGGGAGAGATGGGAGGCAGGAGAGAGATGGGAGGCAGGAGAGAGATGGGAGGCAGGAGAGAGATGGGAGGCAGGAGAGAGATGTGAGAGATGTGAGAGATGTGAGAGATGTGAGAGATGGGAGAGATGGGAGAGATGGGAGAGATGGGAGAGATGGGAGGGATGGGAGGGATGGGAGGCAGGAGAGAGATGGGAGAGATGGGAGGCAAGAGAGAGATGGGAGGCAGGAGAGAGATGGGAGGCAGGAGAGAGATGGGAGGCAGGAGAGAGATGGGAGGCAGGAGAGAGATGGGAGGCAGGAGAGGGATGGGAGGCAGGAAAGGGATGGGAGGCAGGAGAGAGAGGAACGGCTACTCATGTCCCCGGACCATTTGGAGGAAAGGATGGGGGTCGGTGGGATGGGGGTCGTAGATCCGTACGCCCACACAGGAGGGGCCGTCCCCACGCTGCCCCGCCAGCAGAAGGCCCAGTCCCAGCAGAACGTCTGCGCCACGCCCTCCCTCGACCGACACCACATGATCAAGATGAACTCTCACCCCACGTCCGGACGCGAGCAGGAGAGGAACACGCCCATGACGGGGCACATGAGCGCAAACATGGGCTGGCAGGGGGAGGGGCCCGGGGCGGGGGTAGTCATGGGAACAGGAACACTAGGGGGCCACAGTGCCAGGAGGATGGCTTTCGCAGCAAAAAGGCAAAACACCATTGAGCAGCTACATTTCATACCAGGAGGGGGTGGCGGGGGATCGTCGGGGAGTGCAGGAGGGAGTCAGGGGATCAGGACGGGGAGCAAAAACGAGGTGACGGTGTGAGGTTTGTGCCTAATGTAGAGTTTACCCCTCATCAAAGGGATGGGAGTAGATCACCCTTCTGCATTTAACTATTAGATATATAACTACAAGAACTAGAAGTATAAAGTATAGTAACATTAGAATGTGTTTAGGCTATTCAAATTAGTGTAATCTAGTAATTCAATAGCTTAAATATGATTAATCGGTTAAAAATCTAGGTGGGGAATATCTGTAACAATTATGTGATAGCCTACGTCAGCCATATTTTGTAACAAAGTTTGCCATATACAGCGGTGCCATTACTTGTAGAAAGACTAAAAAGGGTGAAACAAAACCAACCGAAGTGTCGTTCATCATTTTGTTTTTATATGTTTTTCAAAAAGTACTCAGGAGCCATATTAGATAGGGAACAAGAGGATATATATATATATATATATATATATATAGAGAGAGAGAGAGAGAGATATAGATAGAAGAGGTCGCTGCAGAGAAGGAGCATGTAGAGTATTGTATCACAGAATTTAACAGAGAATTGAGCCAACTACCTGCTGGACTGTCAACCTGCTCAGCTCTCGCCAACATTGATTGATTAAACTGAACCTCATGGGTGAGCAGCCCGGTGGACCAGAGGAGCGGGAGTGAACCATGTGCCTGGAGAGGGATTTTGGAGATCTGATACTCAACCTCATCCTGACACAGGGAGACAAAACTTTGTGTTGCTTCCTTTGATGACGAGGTGGGGGCTGTTTACGACTTGGACACAGCAGCCTGTTGGCAGGACTCCACACCTGATTTTAAAAGCGCGGACGTACCCACATCACCAATCTGACGCCTGGGTTGCCTAGTTTTCCATGTGACCTTAGATCCAATCCCCAGAGAGACTCACACTCTGGTCACTGTTACACTGCAGTAAGCTGACGTTAGATAACGTTATGGGTGATTTTTCCCCCTAACGTTCCCATCTATAGATCAGGACCTAACTGTAAGAACATTGGGCTACCAAATAATATAGAGCCATCTGTCACGTTATTACAAAATTATCTTGACAAAAACATAAACGAGCCAGGAGACGCATGTGTTCAGTTTACCAATAAAGAGGCAACTTGCTTTAATTGCAGGTTGTGAACGAAGAGCAAAGGTTTTTCTACAGAGCACAAATGAATAGACCGTGACGCAGAGGTTGCACTTACACAACTGTCCTTCAAAGCCATTTACGGAGATACAAAGAAAATACCACAGAGGAAGCTGGTCTGACAATCACCATTTTATTATTCTCACCAGGTGACAAATTACAAAAGGCAGATATTTTGTACAGTCAAAGGATTGGCTTCAGAGCAAGCCAAAAAAAACTCTGAGTCAGGAGAGAGAGGGCGACCTGAGGCCTTCTCCTGCATGGCTCATATGCCGTAAGAGACTCGGATGATTAGGAAGCCCTCCCCTTCCTCAAGAGGAAGACCTTGCTGTATCATAACGCACTTCAGCCAGTATGAGTAAAAAAAAAAAGAAAAAAAAGAAAAGAGAAAAAAAAATGTTCATCAATAACAACGCTTATCAATACTAAGGGCTATCCTATCCTATATACTGTAGTATGTGATATCTGTGGTCCATATAAAATACTATCTCTTTCTCTTGATTTTGTGTTGATATTGTCATGTTGTATTAAGTATTAATGTGTACAAAAAACAAGAGCAATTTAAGCACAGTTCAAAGAGAAGCACAGAGACAAAACAATTGTTTTTGCACAAATCTATCCCAATATTTGCACCTGATACAGACTTACTCTGTATCGTGTCCTCAAAGTTTACAATCTGTTCAAGCACGGCTGACAGTGGGACTGATCAATGGAGGCTATTGTATTGAGAGAGGATTTTTTTTATCAACATGAAATCAGAGATCATTTTGGCAGATCAAAGAATTAACTTGTTACTGCTTGATTTTTGTTCAGTCATATGGAAGGATACAGATATCAAATACTGACCAACAGAAACACAGATTTCATCTGGACAATCTTCCTATACACAGTGCTAAATGTAGTTGTTATGAATATGATGGAGTGTTATTATTAATAATTATTATAACTGTTATGGTTATTATTAACAATTATCTTATGATGTGATGTTCTTTTACTTGGTGGGATTTAAGTGTTTATTGTTTTTAGATAACTAGAATTCTCATGACTAGTTTTTTTCTTTGGTTCATGGTCATAAACTCAAGTTTTTAAAAACATTCCAAATCTTGATGCATGCCAGCTCCATTTCATTGAGAGGCAGTTACAGAATGCCTGGATTTTAAGGTCATCGATGCTTTTATGGCCACTTTCTCCAGCTGTATGTACGTACTGTGCCTAGACATCGGCCTTATGACTTCTTGATCTCAAGTGAAATTAGGTTTCCACTCGGGTATTCAAAATATCTATTGAAAAAATCTGCAGCCTTCTAAACGTATGTGTAGACGACGGTGTCTTAACAGCCAGTGAGGGATAGGTGTGTTCGGGACGGGACAGACGTTTATTATCCAGACTGGAGGCGGTCTGCTGTCTCCACTACAGATGACCCCATAACATTGTGGATTGTACACACTGAAACCCATGATGCCATAATGTATGTGTGTTCGGATGAATGTTTATTACACAGGTTGGAGAGAAACGGAGCTCTGATGGAAACCTGAATGCTTTGAGTGTCTTTTTTCAGGGAAATAGGACAGTTGACATACAGTAGTATTAGATTTTTTTAATAGAGCCACAAAAGGTCTGTAGCAAAGTCTGTAAAATCTCACAAGCCATATCCATTGAAACTCATCATTCACAATTTTATAAATGGTTAATCTAATTTGTGCAAGTATTGTATTTTGTATAGCTAGTACAATCAGAATATTTTGAGTGATCTCTTCAACATTAATTTAAGGGTTCAAAAAATTATGTGTTAGTAGTTAATGAATTGTACAGTGCCAAACTCATAACATTTTGTTGTCTTTCTATTGCCATAGCCTCCTACAACACTAAAGGGGTTATTTATTTTTCCCATCTGAGAACTAACGCACAGGCAAGTTAGCTAAAAGAGCTAGTTATTAGAAATAAATTAATGAATATTGTGTGTGTTTTTAGCATTATGAATTCATTTTAGAGGGAGGATGGTTAATGGCCACAAGAAATGTAAAGCATTGCGAACAGTAAATTGTATGGACAGGGACCGTTTCCAGTATATCCGCTAATTCACGAATTTATTTTCATGACTATACATTTCAAAACTACCCTTTTGTTATTGTTCAATGCATTGATCCCCTTGGATACGACAGTGACTTACAAATAATTTGTATAATAAAGTTGGTGGAAAAAACGTTTTGTCTTTTATTATTGAGTTTGGGTTTCTTGCACTATGAATATAATAACATTTTTTATTGTTATTAAATATTTTAGCTCCAATCCATTTTTGTTTACCTGATATATGAATGGTCACTAATTACAATTCTTTGGTACTTGCACATTGCTTATTAATATAACCAAACCATGCCACTGTCATTCAACAGTGTTGGCAAATTAAATATTGTCTTGGTATTTGATATTTTTAAGATATTCCTCAACCATTAAGGCTTTTAAATTATTTCCTTGAAAATGTAACGTGGGCTGTATGAATTAAAATGACTTACTGAGAGAAAGATTGTACATTACATTTCGCAGGAGGGGATCTCCAAGTTCCTGGTTGCTGAACAATATCCTTCAAAGATTAAACAATATATTAATTTTCAGAAAGACGTCTAAGTTGATTGTTCACAGAAATATAGTACAGGACTTCCTATTTTATGTGCAAGTAAGTGAAATTATGAGAATCCTTTTGAAAAAAAAACAATACCTGATAAACAACAATCTCTTCCCTGGAAAGTATTTAGTTGACAGGCACATTTTCAATGGTGGTATTATTTGAATCCTCATATAAAAGCAAGTTATAGTTAGGATAAAGCTGTTTCTGCACAAAACTCCATCTTACTTGACATTTGCACACCACACCACGCCACACCACACCATTCAATGAGTGGAATGCTCAGAGGAAATATATTGGGAAATTGAGATTCATAATAATCACAAGATGAATTCATGTTTTATAATGGGTCAAAGACACAGTAGCTCTATACTGACAAAAAGTCCTCTTGGCTTCAGTATGTTAGTGGACACAGAGAGTGGGGATAAAATCCCACATCACCAGGGTCTCAGATATTGTATAAGCCACATTAAGGCTATACAGTGCCGGTGGGAGAGGACAATGGTGCTTTTAAATGAAATGAAAAGGCGAAATATGTCTTCATATATTTCTCAACTCGAGACCATCTGATGGCAGAGTTATATCATACTGTACCTGCTGGATCCGCAGAGTGAGGGGAGGGCTGTGGAGCTCATATTTAAAACCTCCTGTGAATACTTTTATTGCATTGAAATTCATGAAGGCTTAAATAAAGGAGCAGACAATGGCATTGCTCTGATACAGAAATAATGTGTACAGGAGGTAAACAAAGGCCACAAAATATATTGTGTTTGATTTAGGCACTGGCTGCCACTGATGCATTACAGCCATTGTAATTTGCACATTTCACCACCAGGAGGTTCAGTGCACCTCTCTGCTCTGAGACAAAATGAAGCCCTCACTCAAAATGTCATAACTCAAAAGATAAACCCCACTGTCCACCACCTGGTATCTTTCATAATAATTCATATTTTCTAGGTCACTGTTCACGAATTAAGCTCAGTTTATGTAGATGACTGGTTCTGAAGAAGACTTAAGATTTTCTATTAAAAACAAATTCATATTCCAAATGCAAATGTATGTGTTAGTCAAGGCTTTAGGGCCGTAAATGGTCCTGAGTAAAAAGGTCCACATGCTCTGTGCACACCATTAGTATTCGGCTTGATTACAACCATAAATATCAGCGAGGACCGCTGAAATTATTCAGTGGTGAGAAAAAGGATGGAAGCAACTCTAACAAAATCAAGAGCAATGAAGATGGCAAGAAATGGGGATTTTCTGCCAAGTTAGGTAGTGGATGGAGAAAATACTTGTTACACTAGACCTAATGTTTGAGAAGAACATTTAAAAAAAAATGTAAAACCCTATGAAATACATTTGGTTTATGCTCCAAAGATTTTTGTAGATATTTACATTTAGGGAAATTACAAAATGTCACTTAGGGTATGGAACAACCTTAAATAATAAAACATTTTAAGTAAGGAATATATAAGAAGATGGTAAAAAATGAATGACACAAATGTATATATACATGTATACAATCACACGATCAGGACTCCTATAATTATTTATTTAAGAGGACCAAAGTCATAACATATGTGTTCAAAACCAATATATGTGTTTATTAGCATTTTTAGTTGTTTTTATGATTTATCTTTTAATTTTTGTTTATCATGATGTAATGATTTATACTTTTACAATTGTAGGCCAGACTGTGTAAGTTGTTTTCATTATTTATTTCCTGAAAAAAGTGCTGTGTTTATAAGTTTAATGTACTAATTAAGACAATAGTGGAGGAAGTATTCAGATCCTTTACTTTAGTAAAAGTAATAATACCAAAAGTCCTGCAATGAGCAAAAGTATTCAGAAAAATGTTAAGTATTGAAGTTAAAGTACTCCGTGCAGAAGATGTCCTTACAAAACAGTCCTTATGTAGTGCTTTAGTATAGCCCATGAGCATGAATGGTTACATTGCACCTCTAAATGTTGTACTAAATATTGTACAATTCAAAGTAGCCAAAAGGCTTTTGTCTCCGTTTAACCATTATTAAATGGGTAATAAATAACTAAACCAAGGAAACATAATTATATGTTACACCAAATGCTACTTTCTTTTCACCTAATGCTATGTATTTATTAATTATAGCCTAGTGTAATATTCTCGTCTATAATAGGCCTATATAAACAACAGCCGTTATGTAAACAGGGGGGAAAGTCCTAAACCTCCAGCTGGGACTTGTTGACTTTAGATACATTTGGAAACCGTGTTGTAGCAGTGGAAATGGACACTGATGTATTTGTAGCATTTGTGGAAGAGGAGTCCCTTTTTTTTTGTAACCGACAGTGCAGCCGCCCGTGAGCCCCGCTGGTGCTACCCGGAAATATTACAAGGGCCGGAAAGGACCGATGTTAAGGGAGCACACGTCACTCACTTTTACCCAAAAATATTACCACCGACCATCCAAAATTGTCTCGGCCGTCGAATTTTTTTATCTGAAGCTCCCTGTCGACGCAGACCGGTGGTAATGAAGTGAACAGACGGCGGCTGCGGTATCCTATGGGGTTGGTTTCTTCTGGGAACCGTGTAAGTGTTGACCCAGCTCAGCATCAGTGAAAATGGCTCTCGCTAAAGCCTGGAAAACAGCACGCAGAAATGGTAGCAGGCGATAGCTAGCTAGTCGGTTAGAAGAAGGCGTGACAGGCCTCATCCATCTGCAACTGTGCTCTGGATGCGTAGGTAAACATTTGCCGAATATAGGTTACGCATATGTATAAGCTAACGTTAGCATCGAAATGATAACGGTAGTCTACATGGTTTTAATGGTGCGGTGTGGAAAGATGGCTAACGTTAGCTGCAGCGGCTGTGTGGTTTTCTAGATTGCGTGTGGCTGCAAATGGCTAAACACGCCGAGCCAGTGTACAATATGTTGCGAAGGAGAACCGTGAAGTTTTGCATGCAAGCGCGTCCAATGTTTTCCTTATTTTTTTTCTTCGAAATGTTAGCCAATACTATTACAGGATGCCTCCTCAAAGTGCATCCGTTATGTCTTGCGCCCGACTCAACAAATGTTTACATAGTGCAGCGGTGTGTTACAGTGATGTTCATTTGAAGCATTTCTGCCTTTCTTCACAGGATTGGTGATTTACATTAAAATGAGAGGCAGCCAAACATGCGATAGATTATCTCCCTCATCTACCAGGGGAGCTCACTCCCCACCAGGTTCATCGCATCGATTAGAGGAAACGGTAAGATATAACGAGGTGAGCAACACGATTCAGTGAGTGGTTTAAATGTAGCCAGACTACTTTGAGCCTGTTCACAAGTAGAGTAGTAATGGTACATTTGAATAGAAACCCAAACTTACTGTTATGCAGGTAAAGACAAATGCATAATGCCACAGTTAGATTCTCTTTTCAGTTTTGTTGTCTAATAAGACCTGTATCTAAAGTGGATTAATTGAAATGTAAACATCTTAAATATGTTTGGTTAAATTATATTTATAATTTAATGTTGATGTCATTGCACATAGAGATAAGAAACTCAATGAAACAATATGTTTAGTATAATTAAGTGGCCTAGACATGTACATACAAATGAATCATTATACAGAATGAAATATAATTTGGACAATTTGCATTAGATGCAACCTTAACAGGCCAGTCACCCTTTAAGGTATTACACATAACAGATGCTTTGTAATGACCACTGAGGTTATTGAGCGCTATTCATTTAGTAAGAAAATACTATAATTAGATAATACTGAGACTGAACTAAATCTTTGTTGGCCTTTGTCACAGTTGAATAATTAGTAAACTAAAACAAAAATTAAAAAAGTTAATAATTTACATTATTGTTAGTATGGGGTTTTCATTTAATTGTCTGTTATTACAAAATGTGGACCAGAAAAAACATCCTTGTGTTAATAATTGCAAATCTTTAGTTGCAATTATTACCACAAGGATGTTTTTTCTGAAATTGTTACAGCACAGATGGTAAAATGTATCATGGACACCTCCAATGTAAGTAGTGGGTAAAACATAAATAATCAGTTATGTACAAGCAACTTCATTTTACAAAAGAACGGCATCTGCTATGCAATGTGGTTTTTCATGAAACATTGCCACACCTCTCTTTACTCAATAAACACTTGGTACATGCAGAAAGCCACTTTTGCTGTACAGATTACAGTGTGAGATACTGTACATGACAGAGGTGCCTCAACATATAAGCATTAAAGGGATATGTAAGTGTGAGTATAATTGGTGGATTACCTCCTAAAGTAGCTTTTTTCCACTAACCTATATGGCGGAGGCCTACTATTATACAACTATTACAACTATATGCATAGACACTAAGAATAATAAAGGTAACTTGAATTTAATATATTTCTTAACATATTGAATAGTCTGGAAAAGTAGAAACATCTGTAGAGAGATACCCTAAATTGTTGAGTTTTGGCAGCTCTGAACCTTTGAAACTTTATGTAACATAAAATAATGTTGTGGTATCATGTATAGTGTGTATGAAGGGGAAGAAGATCAAATGAAACCTTGTGGACTGTACTGGATGAATACAAGTAATAATGATACATTTTAATGTTGACGTGCAGACTTAGGTCTCTTTCTATTTAGATGTACCTTATTGGATGGTGCACCTTGTTATAGATATAAGTACAGTCCTGTTCCCCTCTATGACTTTCATCCCTTTGTGAATTTTTTCCAGCTGTAGGAACATCTTGGCTGAACAAGGATGAGGAGCCTTGCTTAGATGAAGGATAATGTCAACGCAGTTACTCTCAAAGGAAACAAGAAGTCATTTCTTCTGCTTCTCAATAAAAACCACATTTTTAGCATTTTTTTTAATTAGATGGAACTCATCTACTTGTCTTAAAGACACTTTTACCCTTTAATCATAAACTCATCTTCCCGGCCACCCCACTCATTTTGGAAAAAGAGTGTGGGCATTGGATTATCAACAGGGAGCACCAGAAGTTAACTATCTGGAGGGACGAACTTGGTATTTAAGACATTCAAGTAGTTCTGGGAAATAAAGTAGAATAACCTCACGCTAAAGTTTATCTTTCACCAGTCACTGGTGGGATCATTGTTTTTTCGCTCCTAGCGCTGGAGGTTTGGCGCCTGCACCCCCATGTGCCAGTGAGTGGGAAATGTTCCAATTTGGAAAGTACAATCTGGACATTATAGAGATGTTAAGTGGGCACCAGGCCCACCAGTTTAAAGGCCTTGGTTTAGATCGACAACTACAGCATCAACAGCAAGTGCAACTTCACCAGCATCAACTCCAGCAGCAGCAGCAACAACAGGCTGAATCTTCTGGAGCTCTTCTGTCTGGACTTGGCTTGGGACCCCTGCAGGGGTCAAGAGGTAACGCCTTTTCTGATTCTGCCTCCATTTTTGCCAAGATGAGTGCCCCTCCTCCCCCACCTTTACAACAACAGCCTTCCTCATCTCAGAGCTCTCGTTCAAAGTCAAGCAAGATGAGCAGCAGCAGCTCAAGCCATTCGTCAGGCTACCCACAGTTCCTGCGCTCTTTCCACCCGTCTGAGGCAGCACTAGCACAGGAGCAGTTACATCCAGCTGTAGGCCGTTTCGAGCACTTTGCTGGGGCAAGTAGCAGTAGTGGGAGTGCTGGGGGTTTAGGAGGATTAATAACATCAGCACCTCCACCCCCTCCTCCTTTGCATCCCGGCCTCTCTGTCCCCCAAGCATCATCTGGTCCTTCCTCTTCCTCTCCTTCCCCTTCAACATCTGTGGCCACCTCTAATAACCCTTCTAGCAGCAGTACAGTCAGCTCTTTGGGACACCAGTTGGTTGGGGCCCAGTCTGATGCACGAAGCCTTCACCAACAGTTTAGTTGCATGTTAGCTGCTAATCAGTATTTCCTTTCTGGGGTGCCTTCTAATGCTAGTTTAGAGCAATTTCTTGTTCAACAGGGAACGCATAACCACTTAGGGCTTAGTTTGAGTCATACAGGCGGGGACCCTAGTCTTGCTCCGCCTCCTGCTTTGCATTCTTCTCACTCACATGGCCACTCCACTTCCCAGCCACAGCAGGCTCCACATCAGCCCCCTCAGCAGCAACAGCTTCCACCTCACACTCTTTCTCATCCTCACTCTCATTCCCATCCTCACCATCCACTCCACCCAGGCTCTCATTCTTCATCACTGAGTGGCTTCGACTTCCAGGGCATCCCTGTTCTCTCATCAAATCAGTTAGCCTCTCTGATGCAGCAGGAAGCAGGTTTGCCTCTCCCCTTGCCCCTTCATTTATCCTTATCTAAAGATGACGGTAAAGGTGAAAGCAGTGGAGGTGGAAGTAGTAGTAGTGGTGGCAGTAGCAGTAGGAGAAAGAAAGCTATGGCCGGCTATTTGCCACAGAGAAAATCTGATAGTGCTAGTAATAGCAGCAGTGGTCATGGCCATGTCAGCCACAGTGGTAATCTCACCACTAGCAGTCATGGTCAGCCCCCGGCTTTAATTGGTAGTGGGGTTGGTATGTCGAGTATGGGTGGAGACCCATCATCCATTCTAGCCTCATCATCTTCATCCTCATCAGTAGTTTCTTCCTCCTCCTCCTCTGCTCCCTCTTCCACTGCTGCCTCAGTACTGGTTACTAATAATTCTCACCTTTCTAAATCTGATCTGAGCTCAATGCAACCCAACAACTCAGAGTCTGATGTAGAGCCTGTTTATAGCTGTGGAGAGTGTTGCAAAAGCTTTCCTCACCTTTCAAGCCTTCGCAGGCATTTGCGCATGCATGAGCCAACTACAGCAGGCACTAGCAATGCTTCCTCTACTGGCCCAAACCCCATTCATATTAAACCACAGGCTGACCCAAGCCTTCCCCATTCTACCCAAGAAACCCTGCAAACCCTGCAAACCCCGCAGACCCCGCAAACCCCGCAAACCCCGCAAACCCCGCAAACCCCAACAATTTCTTGTCCTAGCCCAGACAAAATATTTAACTGTCCTGACTGTGGCAAAGGCTTTAAGAAAAAAGGGCACCTCCTGCAACATGGAGTTTTACACTCTTCAACGCGCCCATATGGCTGCTCCACCTGCTCTCGGGCTTTTAATCGTAGAGAATCATTGACACGCCATGAGAAGATACATGAGGAAAAGCCTTTCCGATGTCCCGCCTGTGGTCGTGCCTTCCGTGAGAGCACCTCTCTACTGAACCATGCTGCCTCAGGCACCTGCGGCAAGCCAGGTAGGGGACCCAAACCAAGGGGGAGCAAGACAGAAACTGAGGGTCAGGACAGAGTCGGGGGAGGGGGTAATGGAGGAGTGGGAACTTATCACAGCAATAGAGGTGTTATTTATGGGAAAACTGAGGAAGACGATGGTGTAATCATTGTGGGGGAAGGAGAACCAAAATCAGGTTTAGGATGTGATGGTCTTTTTCAGTCTGCAAGGGGAGGGAATTCAAATGACAGGGACAGAACAGATGCTAAATACCCCACTGACTACTCTCGGAATCGTTACACAGGCTACCATGATGACCATCGTTCTCAGGGGAATCCATCTCCATGCTACTCTGGTGCCTCCCCCTGTGGAAGTGGGATGGCGGGCCCAGCTCTGAGAAAGGCACCATTGGCTCCAACACTGCATCCACACTCACAGAGCCACAACCAGCACCACCAACAGCAGCAACAGCCCCATCTGCCCCTTTCGTCTCTACTGGATGACTCAGAGGATGATGTCACTAGCTCTGTCAATAATGCAATCTCCGCAATAACGGCAGCTAGTAACAGTGGAAATAGAGGGGACGATAGGGGAGACATCATAGGAGGACTTCTAGGTGGTCTTGGTTTAGGACCTCTTGGCTCACCTTCATCTACATCTGGTTTGGATAAGAATTTCAGAGGTGGTGGGAGCCAGGATGCCATGAGCAGCAACCAACAGAATCTTGCCGCCAAACCAAAACGTCCACGCAAACCGAGAGCTAAAAAAGATCCTGCAGCTCCTGGACAACCCCCCAAACGTAGGCAATACACCCCAAGAATGGGGCCCAGTGGCCTCCCACGCACCCACCTCTGCAGTGTTTGTGGCAAGGGTTTTGCACGTCGCGAGACCCTGCGCAGGCATGACCGCATCCATACTGGAGAAAAGCCCCATCACTGCACTGTTTGTGGAAAGTATTTTAGAGAGGCTTTTCACCTCAGCAAGCATCAAACAGTCCACTCTGGGGCAAAAAATTACAAATGCAGCATCTGTGGGAAAGAGTTTGGTTACTCCCAGAGCCTCAGGAGGCACAGCAAACTCCATAAGAAGGGAGAGCTGGAAGAGGTACCCACAACACCAGCTGCGGAGAACCCCAACAGCTTTAACCCAAACCCTCAATGTAGCGTTGCCCAAGACAGGAGCCAGAACCAAGCTCCAAGCACCTCCTCCTATTACTCCTACCCTCAAGACGTCAAACCTCAAGACACCAACCCCCAGACACAGCCTCCACCGCATCCACAGACCCAACCTCCGCCTCGACTCTACACCTGTGCTATATGTTGGAAGTCTTTCCGCCACCACTTCCATTTGACTGCTCATCACCAGACGGTTCATGAAGGTGGGGGTGAAAAGTTATTCTGCTGTGAAGTATGTGGGAAAGCATTTGCTTACGCTAACAGCCTCACCCGACATAGGCAGTCACAGCATGGGATAACCCGCTCTGAAGCAGCTAACTCACAAGAAGGCAGCAGTGGGTCTGTAGACAACAGACGTGTGAGTGATGTTAATCAGTCAACATCAGAGAGTGAGGCTGCTACCAATACCCTGCTACAGATGGCTCCTTCCTCTGAAGGCCATGGAGGGCAGAGTCTTAGTGTCGTCACTCATAGCCACCAACAGCCACCCCAGCAACCACCATCTGGTTACTCTCCCCTCTTCTATGATGCTGCAGCCCAATCCTCAGCCTCTGGTGCTCCCTCTTACTCACAGCCTCTGCCTCCAAACTCTACTATCATGGCCCCTCAGCACCCGCATTCCCCAGCCGGGGTAAAAGGAGAGCACATATATCCAGCTGGATCCCGTAGCCGTACGCTCCACACCACAGCCCCGTTCCAGCCCCTCACCGAACTGCCCTCCACTGAACATCATCATCTGCATCATCATCATCACCATATCTCCCCCCACCATCATCCTCATCCTCAGTCAGGTACCCAGTCCCAGCAAAACCTTGACTGCAGCATCCAGTTGTCAAATGATGACATGAGACGACAAAAGAAGAAAAGAAAAAGGTCTGAACGGAGAGATTGGAGGGAAAATAAATTGGAATCCCAAGATTTAGTCAGATTCGATGAAAGCAAAAAGAAGAGAAAGATAAGTTGTACAATAAGAGGGCAGTCGAATAAAAAACAAGGCTCTCTTCGCTTGACGATTAGACGAGGCGAGGGATCAGGTGGTAGTGGCTATAAGCTTGTCAACACCGGGGGAATGAAGGTGCAGATCCTCTCGTCTCTCAAAGTCCCAGTTAAACGTTTTGGCTGTCCTATGTGCCCCAATTCTGTGTTTTCCCGTAAAGCGGGACTGCTAGTCCATATGGCAGTTAAACACCCACAAAGAGCCTCTACCACTCAAGAGCGACTAAGGTGCCGTGTATGTGGGAAGCAGTCTCCCAGGCCTTTGGCAGCCTTCATTCATCGGGCCGTCCATCGTGCCAAAGGGACTTTTTCTTGCCGACGCTGCTCCACTCGCTTCTGGAATGCTACACTGCTCTACAGGCACAAGGTGTCCTGCCGCCGCAGGGCAAAAGGACTGCAACGAGGAGACGCCAGCAGGCTGAAGTTATCAAAAAGAGCAGGAGAGAAGGAGACCCGAGAGGGTCAGGAGGAGATGCCATTCACACAGGGACCATACAGATACTGAGCATCCTGGTATCTGAAAAGAGGCAAACCAGAGAGAGATTTCAGTTCTTAAATGGGAAGGGGGAAAAAAAGGGACTTGAAAAGGCAAAAGCTGCCTTTTCAAGAGTTATCCTCATGTCTCTGTTGACATCTATTCTGCTTAATATTAGAATGCGTGTGTTAACAACTACTGTAGAGCATCCTATAAAATATCACCAGAAATTCTTCCAGGTTATATTGGAAGAGGTTTTCAAAGATGTGACTGTTTCCATAGATTCATTAACCCCTTAAGTGCATTGACTCTGTGCTTGGCTGACACTGTGCAGTAACTAGAAAAGTTTAGGTGAAATGACCTGCTAATGTATCTCTTTCCCATAACTAGACTCCCTGCTTCACCTCTTGCTGTATGATAAACGTCTCTGCTGTGTACTTTGTCTTGTTGTTGTTCACTTAGAAGATTTTTTTTAAATGTAAAGTGCATTTATTAGGAGTAGGGACATGAGGACAAAGACCTTTTGTTGATAGTTTGTCAGTGCATGTTTGTTCTCTGGTCAAGTTTTTAGCTGAGGTTGTGAAATCACTCCTACAGTATGTGATGGTTTATTCAATATATCCCTGGAGTTTGTAGTGTAAAACTTGATTTGAAGGATACTCTATATTCCCCAGTGATTGAATCACATATAGTTAAATTGTCAAAGTTGCTGGTAATTAGCATTTCAAGGATCCCTCTCCTGCCAAAATGAAGAATCTTTCAAAAAGCCTTGCTTAGTATGTACACTTTACTTCATTTATTTGAGATATTCCTAGCTTTTATACCAAGAGATTGAAAACAGGTAAAACAAGTGGACTGTAACACATGTTTATCTCATGTTATTTGTATGCTCTTTTTAGCAGTGATTATTTCTACTGTACTTCACGGTGTGTAAAAGACAAGGACCTATTATATTAGAAACAAATGTAATATTCCATGTATTTATGTGTGTAACCCAATCAGTCTTCATGCAAACCTTATACTTAACCCCTTTTACTTTTTGCTGAGTTTCAATCATATTATTACTGTCCCAATTTGGTTTTTTTTTCTGCTAAAAATTTACATTTTAAGTAAATCATGTCACTTTATTCACATGAAATGTTCATACCCCTGTCAAGCCTTGCTTTTCTTTTTCTTCTTAAGAAAAAATATAGTTTTAGTAGATTTCTATCACATTATTTACTGATAAGTCAGTAGTTGATTATATTTCAGCAATGAATAAACCTTAAGTGTAATCATTTGTTTTCCTTTCATTTCTCATTCAAAGTTGACAACTGTAATATCCAGAAGATGTTACAAACAGCTAGTCATGAGTAAGTTTTAACTTTCACCAAAGTCAGTAATGGATATAATAAGTTTTAGCTTGATGTCCTATGCGAATTTCATATCAATTTGTGGATTAAATGGTTATTTTTTTAGGATGTATCATAATCACCTTCATTGGCCAAGTATGTGTAAACATACAAAGAATTTGAATAGTTTGCATTGTTCTCAGTTTGCACAGAAATATATATATATATGAAAAGAGAGATGTGCAAACATATTAAGAAAAAAACACGAATGATTGTAATTAAAAAAAAAAAAAAAAAATCTATGTGTTCTGAAAGTTGAAAACTATAAAAAATGGTTTGACATGGATGATCATACAGTATGTTGTATGCTGAATAGAACGTAAAGGATTTGTATTAACGGTGGCAGACAATATTGACTTATAAACAAACCAATCGATTAAAAGACAATCTATAATAGGATCAATGTATGTTTTGGTACACAGGGTTATACAAGTGTATGACAGATGTAACTGTTCATCAGAGTCTCTGTTCTGGAGTAAAGTGTTGTGTAGTGCTTACCAGAGGGGAGGCAGGTTGAATTAAGGCCTAATGTTACTGCCAGATTATTCTGGGGTAATGTCTTGCTTTCAATAATTAAAATGCTCAGTACATTATCACTATATTAAAATAAAGGGCTGTGTACAACACCTCACTCCACCAGATGGCAGTAAGCAACTCATTTATACTGTCCTCTTGGCCTGGTGTGGATGTGTGGCAGTCACATGGATTTTGCACTGATAGGGGGTGGACTGGATAGTGTTGTATGACTCAGTGAATTATCTGCCCGATGAATACCTAAAAACAAATACAAAGCTTGAGTATCACTTGGTAATCTCACCTTAATGTTAAGAAATTAATATGAAATTAAATGCATGCATTTTTGCATTTGTATAAACTATAAGTTCACAGCATTACATAATTTAATTCTTATTGTTCCCCTTTCTGTGATTCCAAATCAATTATGTCATTATTTGAAAATATCTGAAACGGTCAAATCTATTATACTTTACTGAGTGACCCCAATGTGTTGATTTAGATTACAGTTGAATCTTGAATTAATCATTGCTATATATTATATGTAAAAATGACTTAGTTAAACGTGTGTTTGAATTCTGATTCAACATAACAATGTGTTTAGCTTTGTAACATAAAATATGATTAATCCCCACTGCTTTAGGTCAGGTCCCATGTGGTTATGATCCAAGGGGCTCACTGACGGACAAAGCGTTTAGTTGGATAGTTTTACTGTAAAGAAAAGCACAGGATCATAGGACAGGGTGGACTAAAGGGGCCAAGGACATTAATGTACAACTAATAATCACATTTAGTGCACAGTATTCATAAGGACTATTTGCGTATTAAGCTGCAAGATTACTTGACTGTCAGTTATTTACACGTCCAGCTCTGGAAACAAAACAAAGAAGTGAACTCCTGTGGCGCGCGATGTTTTTGCATGTGCTCTGCAACAGTAGGCTACAGTAGACACCCCTCGCGCTTTTTGTGTTTCGAACTGGTCTCACGCGGCTGTGGCAGACGCTGAGGGGAATCCGAGCGGGCGGGTTTCTTCGACCTATTTCTGTCCAATGGGCGCGCATCGTGGGAGGAGCCGCGAGTCTGCAAAGCCAATTGTAGCCAGAGCCGCGAGCGGACAAGGCATCCTCTCCGCGTGGCTCGTACACGTGAGCTGGAACAGCTATTGTACGCCGCGAGGCAACGTGCAGGAGCGCTGCTCGCCTGAAAAAACGACAGTCACGTTTTCTGTGGATTAGAAAAGGAGACTGGAAAAGCCATGCTGCACTACCTGATTATCACAGCAAGACAAAACTGTGCTTTAATAAATATTAGCAACGGTTTGAGGCAGTAATCCTGAGAATAAATAAATGACTTTCATTTGAGATGTCAATGTCTACAGGTGTAAAGACATTTTACTTGGTGTCATTCAAAGGATTTATTTGTGATATATACAATAGCTATAGTGTAGTCTTGGCAATGACATTCTTGAGTCTCAAGCTCTTTCAACAATGGAACATGAAAGTAAACCTAAAATAGTGCAACATTTTAAGTATTTAGCAGAAAACAGAAAAAAATATGTAGGCTACATATAAAATAGCATGCAATACAAAAATGTGAAATGAAAGGCTATGGATTAAACATAAATAGGCCTACTGTATACTGTAAAAATATATACATATTTGGCTGTACAGATGTACAGTTTATTTTGGACATACAGCAGGCCTATTTGGATGGTGAAACTTCCCCAGTGGTGTAAAGTCACTAAGTACATTTACTCAAGTACTGTACTTAGGAACAATTTTGAGATACTAGTACTTTACTTGAGTATTTCAATGTTGTGCTACTTTGTAGGCTACTCATAACCCACTACAATTCAGAGGTTAATAGTGTACTTTAACTCCACTATATTTATTTTATACCTTTAGTTACTTTGCAGATTGGGATTAATGATGGGACATAATCAACATTTAATAAGACTTTAGTTACACCTGAAATAAATACACATGATTTAACAATTGCTCCAGCTTTACTTGCACTCAAAAGATATAATATATATTGTAATCAAATGGGCCAATCTGCATAATGAGTACATTTACTTTTGGTACTTTACATTTATTTTGATGCTAATACTCGTGTACCTTTATTTGAGTAACCTTTTTGATTGCAGGACTTTTACCAGTATTCCTAAACTCAGGTAATTTAACTTTAACTCAGGTACACGATCTTCATACTTTTTCCACGTCTGTACTTCACAGCCCCCAGGGTCTTAACAGTCTTGTTGTTTGTGCTAAAACTGTCCCTGAGTCTGGTGGTTCAACTCATCAACAATCATTAAAAACGTGATGGCTGCAGCAGAAACACCCTGGTGAATTTGTTTGTTTCCGTCAGACACAACAAACAGCCTACTGTCGTCGAGGAGTGGCACGAGGGTAGGTGTGTCTCATAAATAATAAGAAATAATTCAGAGATGTGTTAAAGCCTCGCCCCCCCCCCCCCTTCACCCCCCCCTCGACTTGCGACGTCACGCGAACTGCCCGTGTCCGCTCCAGCTGAGAGAGCGCGAGGACTATCGGTGGTGTTGGTGGTGGACGTCGCGCGGCCCAAACACAGACCTAAGCCCGTGCGAAGATCCACCGGATCCACAAAAAAGTGCAGACGGAGAGAGAGAGGAAACGTCCCCCTCCTCCCCCCGACGGACAGCAGAGCGCGACAGCCGCGGAGAGGAACACCAATATACAACTTGTCATCTGACCAACAGTCACCGCTCTCGTCGCTGTGTGCGTTTTTTTGTTGTTGCACACACTGTTTCCACTCGGTTGTTTTGTTTTGACGGAGGTCTGCTTTATTGCAACTATTTAGCGATCTTCTTTTTGATTGTCGGACGGTTCATTCGGGATATAATTCTACAAGTTTTAATTGTAATATTTTCCCGGGTGTGCAGTGAGCGGGTTTCACAGTCATTTTGACGTATTTGTATTTTCTATATGGACAGTATTCTAAATTAGATGGTCTGACTGTCGCTCCTACGCCGCTCATTTTAGAGTAACAGCTTGATCGACTGGAGAACATTTAACCGCAATGGAATATTTCGATGAAAACATTTCTGGAAGGCAATAAGGAACTCTGCACAACATCAAGTAAAAGGTAACAAAACTTGCAAAGTATCATTAATCTGCATCAATAATTGTGTGCTAATACTTGTTCCATTGCATTACAATGGTTGC